AATTGCAAAAGTGAACCAAGACCCCGAGCAGGATAATTTTCGAGCCCTCATTCCTACAATCTCGAGGTCTACCGTCATAATGGCTTCAAACTCACGAGACCGCGGCATCCGCATCGCCATCGACCGCGGCGGTACCTTCACCGACTGTGTCGGCGAGCTCAACGGAAAAGAGACCATCATCAAGCTCCTCTCCGAAGACCCAGCCAACTATGAAGATGCGCCCCTTGAGGGAATCCGGCGCGTCATGTCGCACTTTCTCGATCGGGAAATCCCCCGCGGCGAGGCCCTCGACACAAAGAAAATCGATTCTATCCGCATGGGCACCACCGTAGCCACGAATGCCTTGCTAGAGCGCAAGGGCGAGAAGATCGCCATGGTCGTGACAAAGGGGTTCAAGGACTGCCTCGCCATCGGCAACCAGAGCAGGCCCAAGATTTTTGACCTGGCGATTCGGAAGCCGGATGTGCTGTATGAGAGAGTCGTCGAGGTTGACGAGCGTGTTACGCTGGAGGACTATGCTGAGGACCCGACGAGGCATTTGACCGAGGTGTCTGCCAAGGCTGGAACGCCAGAGGCGGCTAAAGAGGAGCTTGTTCAGGGGACCTCGGGGGAGGCTGTGAGGATATTGCAGCGCCCCGAGGCACAGAGTATCAAGAGTCAGTTACAAGAGGTATACGACTCGGGTATCCGCAGCATTGCGGTGTGTTTGATGCACGGCTACACCTTCCCCGACCACGAAGCCTTGGTCGGCAAGATTGCAAAGGAGATTGGCTTCAAGCACATTTCTCTCAGTCATGAACTCATGCCCATGATCAAATTGGTCTCGCGAGCGACGTCCGTTTGCGCGGACGCGTATCTCACGCCAGCAATCAAAAAGTACATCTCGGGCTTCCAGGCTGGATTTGAGGGTGGCCTGGGAACGAGGAGCGTTCAGCAAGAGGAAGGTGCCAAGGGTGCCCGATGCGAGTTCATGCAGAGCGACGGCGGCCTGGTCGACGTGGAGAACTTCACCGGACTCAAGGCCATTCTATCCGGTCCGGCCGGCGGTGTTGTGGGATACGCCATCACGTCGTACGACGAAGAGACAAAGATCCCCGTGATTGGATTCGACATGGGCGGCACGAGTACCGACGTCTCTCGTTTTGGCGAGGGGCGATATGAGCATGTGTTTGAGACGACTACCGCCGGTGTAACTATCCAGTCGCCGCAGCTGGACATAAACACGGTCGCGGCAGGCGGCGGGTCCATGCTTTTCTGGAAGAATGGGCTGTTTGTCGTGGGTCCCGAGTCTGCTGGTGCACATCCTGGTCCGGCGTGTTATCGAAAGGGGGGTCCGGCGACTGTGACTGACGCTAACCTCTACCTTGGTCGTTTGCTTCCTGAGTTCTTTCCCAAGATCTTTGGCGAGAATGAAGACCAAGGGCTTGATCCCGAGGCCAGTAAGAAGGTACTGCAGGAACTTGCAGACCAGGTGAACAAGGAGACTGGGAAGAGTATGAGCGTCGACGAGGTGGCGTACGGATTCTTGACTGTTGCGAATGAGACTATGACGAGACCCATCAGGTCCATTACGGAAGCCAAGGGCCACGATTCTTCCAAGCACCGCTTGGCGACGTTTGGTGGTGCTGGTGGTCAGCACGCTGTTGCCATTGCCGAGGCTCTCGGTATTCAGCAGATTCTCATCCATAGGTACTCTTCTGTGTTATCAGCCTACGGTATGGCACTCGCGGATGTCGTGGACGAACGCCAGGAGCCAGATTCCAAGGTCTGGGAATACCCCGGCAAGGCAGTGGACGAGCTGAAGAGCAAGATGGAGAAGCTCAAGGATAAGTCCCGGAAGGCCTTGCGCGACCAGGGTTTCGACGAGAAAGAAATCGTGTTTGAGGAGTACCTCAACATGAGGTACCGGGGTACCGAGTCGGCGTTGATGATCATCAGGCCCGATCAGGACGAGAAGAAGGAGACAAAGGACTGGGACTTTGGCACGGCTTTCATCCAGCAGCATCGCTATGAGTTTGGGTTCACGCTCGACGATCGAGACATTATTGTAGACGATGTGCGTGTTCGCGGGATTGGGAAGAGCTTTAGGCATGCGGAGAAGACGGTGGACCAGCAGCTCAAGGAGTTGAAGCGCACAGATGTGGAGCAGAGCAAGGCGCATAACCGACAGCAGGTGTATTTCGAGGAAGGCCGACTTGATACCCCGGTGTACAAGCTTGAAGACTTGAGCACTGGGGAGACTATTAAGGGACCTGCCATGCTGGCGGATGGCACGCAGACCATCGTGGTTACACCTAAGGCTACTGCACTGGTTCTTGATACTCATGTTGTTATCGACATTGAGAAGGAAGGATCTAAAGAAGATGGGTATGTAAGATCGAGACTGATTCTAAATCATGAAGCTGACCTGTGATTATAGGCCGTCAAAGAACCAAGGCGAACGAGAAGTTGACCCGATCATGCTGAGCATTTTTGGCCATAGATTCATGGCTATTGCAGAACAAATGGGCAGAGCACTCCAGAAAACCAGCGTCAGCACCAATGTCAAGGAGAGACTCGACTTCTCCTGCGCCATCTTTGACGCGACGGGCGGTCTCGTAGCTAATGCCCCCCATCTCCCGGTCCACTTGGGCTCAATGTCCACCTGCGTCAAGCGGCAAGCTGAAATATGGAAAGGCGATTTAAAGAAGGGCGACGTCATCATTTCCAACCATCCTTCCTACGGAGGCACCCATTTGCCAGACATCACCCTAGTGATGCCGGCTTTCAACGACAAGGGCGACAAGATCCTCTTCTACGCGGCATCGAGAGCGCATCATGCTGATATTGGAGGTATTACGGCTGGTAGTATGCCTCCTCACTCAAAGGAACTATTCCAGGAGGGCGCCGCGATCAAGAGCGAGAAGCTTGTCAGCGAAGGGCGTTTCGATGAGAAGAGAGTGACGGAGCTGTTGTACAACGAGCCCGCGCAGTATCCCGGGTGCAGCGGAACCCGCTGCTTGGCCGATAACATCAACGACCTGAGAGCCCAGGTTTCGGCGAATCAGAAGGGTATCGCGTTGATTGAGGGTCTCATTGCTGAGTACGGCGAGGAAACTGTACAGTTCTACATGGTTCACATCCAGAATAACGCAGAGCTGTGCGTCCGCACCCTGCTGAAGGAGGTTAGTAAGCGTTTCGAAGGCAATGACCTTCAAGCGGTGGACTTCATGGACGATGGAAGCCCGATTCGTCTCAAAGTCACAATTGATGCCGACAAGGGCGAGGCGGTGTTTGATTTTGAGGGCACTGGACCCGAAGTTTACGGCAACGTCAACGCCCCTGAGGCTGTGACGTATAGTGCCATCATTTACTGCCTCCGGTGTCTTATCTCAGAGGACATTCCCCTTAACCAGGGATGCTTGAAGCCCATCAACGTCAAGATACCGCCCAAATCACTCCTATCACCGTCAGACGGCGCAGCGGTTGTGGGCGGCAACGTCCTCACGAGCCAGCGCGTGACGGACGTCATCTTCAAGGCCTTCCAGGCGTGCGCGGCGAGCCAGGGCGACTGCAACAACCTCACGTTCGGGTTTGGCGGCAACGTGACGGGGCAGAAGGAGGTAAAGGGTTTCGGCTACTACGAGACGATTGCGGGTGGCAGCGGTGCGGGGCCGACTTGGGAGGGCACGAGCGGTGTGCATACGCATATGACGAATACTCGCATCACCGACTCTGAGGTATTTGAGAGGCGGTATCCCGTGATTTTGAGGGAGTTTTCATTGAGGAAGGGGTCTGGTGGTGACGGGCAGCATCGGGGCGGCGATGGCGTCGTGAGGGATATCGAGTTCCGGATTCCTGTGCAGGTGTCGATTCTGAGTGAGAGGCGGGTGTATAGACCGTACGGACTCGCTGGCGGAGAGGATGCTGAGGCTGGGTTGAATGTTTGGGTTAGAAAGGTTGAGAAGGGGAGCTGGGAAAAGTCGTTGAAGAGGTTGAAGGGTCCTGCTGGGGAGGCGAAGGGAGAAGAGGCGGTGGAGTATGAGGAGCGAAGGTTTAATCTGGGGGCAAAGAATAGCGCGCCGATGAAGCCTGGGGAAAGGATCATCATCAATACGCCTGGTGGTGGTGGTTGGGGCAAGGTTGGGGCTGAGAAGGGGGTTAGTAGCAAGAGAGACCCGACGGATGGTTGGAGGAAGGGGAGTCATGCGAACAGGGAGGATACTGCTCTGCAGGTCTAGGAGGAGCTACAGTGGACATCTCTCAGGTTCGTTTCGAAGTAGGCTCGTTTGCATGTGGGTAGGAAAGCCCTCTCACCTTGACCTTGCCGGCTGGCTCAACCTATATATAAAATAGTGGTGGTTGTGTGAATATTGGCCGTTTCATACGCAATGAATTTGAAGTAGCTGATCGGTGTCTATATCGTGAATTACGCTCTGGTCTTTGACTTTGCAATGATCACGTCCCTTCTCTCCCCATCTTGTTTACACGTTTGTTGGTTTCCCCATTATACCCATTAGAAAAGGGTCATTTCCGCTGACCTTTATCTGTCAAGAGCGAGATATCCAATGTGAAGTAGTAGAAAAGGAATCTGAGGGCCTGTGACGTTTTGATTGGAGTTGAGTTTGCTGACTGAGGTTGGTTCAAGGTAGAAGGAGGTAGCCGCTTCGCGCGTATCGGCAGGTCTCGAGGCACTCACTCACACACGCACACAATGATTCCTCTTGCATGTACTGCCAACGCCTCCAAGTGTGCCCGCGGTTACCAGAAAAACCGGAATCCCTTTGGAGTTTTTGTGCCAGCACGAGACAAATATTCACTCAGAAGAGTTAGGATAGGCGAGTCCTAGTTATTCGTTTTATTGGGCAGACAGCATCAAGACAACATGGTCACAGATTGTATGTTGAGTAATCCCTTTTGATTTCTACTCTATCATACTGAGAAGAATATTTCCCAGGGACTACCGACTACTTGTAGTAGTAATGATCTTCCATTCCCTCTCTCACGCCCATCGAGGAGTCTCAGGCCTCCATCGCGATCGTGGCAGCGGGCATCTGAGCCTTAGTCGTCGGAGTTGTGACAGTCTTAAACAGACTCGTCTGAGTCTGAATCGTGAATTCCGCCTTGCTTTTGGCGGTGGGCGTTGGCTCGGGCTCCATTGTCATAGGTGTAGGAGAGCGAGCCTCGATAGCCGGAGTCGCCATGGTCTTGAAGAGACGCGTCTCGGTTTGGATGGTGAAGTCAGCCTTGACTTTTGTGGGCTTGACTTGTTCCTCCATGCTGGGGCTGGCGGTCTGCAGCGGCAGGGAAGGAGGTTCGGCTTGTCTGATGCTCTGCTTTGCAGCCTCATCGAGCCGGAGGTGCTCGGAATCTTGCTCATTCTTGTCCTCGACGACGTAGGGGGTGTCTACCTTGTCGGCTCTGTCACCTGTGCGGCGGTTGGCAAAGGACGTGGAGTCTCCAAGCTCGCGGCTCTCAATGAGCTTAAGGGCGGGGAGGGCCCAGTTCCAGGCCACGGCCTCGTCTGTTGGGACAGCCTTGGCTGAGGTGTCGTGGGTGAGAGTGAGTGTGGGAGCGGCGATGGCGGAGCTGCTGGGGACTGGAGTGGCCAAAGTGCTGAAGGTGTTGCTGATGGTTGGGACAACCAGAGCTGGGGTTTCAATAGAAGAGGGAGCAGAAATGTTCTCCTCTTCTTTGATGTTGGAACCGTCTTCTTTGCCTTTGATGTTCGACTTCATGAGGTCGAGGGCGGCTGTCGCCCACTTCCAGTTCAGTACCTCAGTTAGGACGTTGTCCAAAGAAGGGGGTGTAGCAGCGGCGACTGTAGAGGAGCTGCTGACGACTGTGGTAGTAGGAGTGGGCGTAATGCCAGTTGTGGTGGAAGTAGCCTCGACTGGGATAGCGATGGCTGAGGTTGTGGCAGCAAGGGCCAGGGCGAGGAAGTAGAGAGTAGAAGTCTGGGAAGGCATCTTGAAGACTTTGGTTGGTTGTTTGTTTGTTTGTTTGGAATTGGGTATGTAAGTTGATGTGTTGTGGTAGTGTGTAAGTGAGGGATGATCGATCAACTTGAAGATGTGTGTGGGAATGGGTTGGGAGACTGATGAGATGAAGGTCTTGGAAGGGAATCGGCCTCCTTTATATAGCTTTCTGGAAGAGTGATCTCGGAGAAAGCTTTGAGGAAACCCCAGAGTCACGAGAAGGCCCGCAAAACATTAACCATCATGGTGTTTCGATGGAAGTTTATGGCTGAACTCCCAGGAAGTGACGCAAGGTTGCGGGTAATCCGTTGGGGATGCCACGGCAATGCGGGTAGGCTAAAGAGGTTCAGCCACCTCATAGCCGTTGCAAAATGGCGGAGTCTAAGGTGCATATCGCATCGTGTAAATTTCTCGAAGCCAGGATATAAGTTCTCTAGGCAGTACTCAAGGTCAAGTAAGGTAGGGAATGCTACCGCGTATGCGAAAGACAAACATCTCAAAAACCTTGGTATTGACATCACGATGAAATAAAGCTTTATTAATTCCCATGAATTGGCACTCCAATCCGCCCGCTTTATCTCCAGCCCTGCGCACCTCATCTGGGCAACTCGGTGTCGGTTCTAGGTGGTAACGGTTTGCGCTTAACGCCTCCTGAGAATGACCTCGTCTCTGTCCTTGCGGGTCTCTGATCTTCATAGCCATCACCAATAGTGCTCAAGCTGATGTAACTACTTTCATCCACCAAGCTCCTCGAAGAATCGAAGCGTCCTTGTGCTCTAGGAGGAGTTGATGGTGTCTTCTCTTCGTTGAGCACGACTTTGTACTGGTCATCTATCCGCTTGCCAACGCCGAGCTCAATGCCGACTAAAAAGTTTTACAGGTTAGCCACCGTGCCAAGATTTAAGACGTCCACATCGAATCTTGCTAGAGTCGAACTTACAAATGTTGTAGTAGATGTACTTTGATAGTACTGGTGCCCAGACCAGCACCGCAACAACCTGGCCAAAAGTCCACTGCTCTTTGCTGCGCATCGTTTCTCGAACGAAGCTATGTACTTGAACAATGTTGACCAAAATAGTATAAGCCATGAGAGACACCAGAAGAAACCACAGAATCTTTCCCAGGACGGATAATGTCTTGAGAACCCAAGCAGGTATCAGGATCTTGCGCCCTTTTAGACCTTGATTTGCCGAGGCCATCATTCTGCGGAGTCCAGGGACATGGCCCAGATGATCTGCCGTAAGAAAGACCATGATTGATGTATAGATAAAGAATCGAATGATTTGATCATTATATTGTAAATGGCCGCCATAAATGTAGTAATCGCTGTATTCGGCCTGCAGACACGTTTGCAAGATGCTTTGCCTTCCGCCGCAGGTTGCGTATTCCGGGGACGGATCTGAGAGATTTGACGGCGTCGGAAGGCTGAGCATCTGAATGATGGCGCACAGGACATACACAATGACTGTGAGTATAAACGTGTACCACCAGTACATGCCTCTGCGTTGCATGATGGCCTGCGTGATGAGCACTAGCAGCGTGTTGGCGCTCGCAAAGACTTTGGCGGCACCGACGTCAACTCGAATGGCCAGAGACTGGCTGTTCATGATTACCATGGTCAAGGTCGCCGTCTCAATGGCCATGACGAAAAAGGCCTGTGTCTCTTGGAACTCGATCATGGTCGAGCACAAGGCGACGGAGAAACGAGTCGAGCGTAGGTGCGTCAGCGTCGAGCGCAGGTGATCCATCTCGGTCTCTGAGCGCTTGCGGAAAAGCCTGAAAACCCACCTGAAAGCAAGCAACGTGCCGAAGAAGATGGAAGAGTCGGGCTGGTGAGGAAGTAGACCGCAGAAAATAAAGAACCAAATGCTCAATGCGACTTGTATATAGTAGGACACTGCAATCTATCGTTTCTATCAGCAACGGGGTGGATAATCCCCTCTGGTATCAAGGTTGGACTCACACCAGGCCCAGCAATATCAGCTTCTGGTCCTTTTGATAGAACGGAGCACAAGTCCTCGAGGGGTTCCAAGACTTTATCCAGTTCATCAGCCTTCACTTGGCTCTGCGTGAGCTTCGCGACGCCGGGATCGCACTCTCCCAAAGGGTTTCCTCCGACGCAGGATTGTTCGATACAGCCGGCAATCTGCTCAAAGACCCGCGTGGCATTGAAATCCTTTAGAGAGTCCAAGTTTATTCTCGAAATCGTTTCGTTGACGCTCTTGTCGATGACGAAGTTCTCATTTTGCACGAGATATGCCGAAGTCGCGATGGCGGCGCACCCGTATAAGTTTGCAGTGGTAGGACCACGTCCCGTCGTAGAAAAACCGAACAGAGATTTCGTGTCATAGCAGTCTTTCTGTGCATCAAAGTCCGACAATGACTGATTCCAACGATATGGCAGAAAGACAGTGATGTTAGGGGCTTCCGAGTGTTTTGCTCTGTCGTAGATGGAGGACACGGCGCCGGCCCAATCCGGACTGCCGGAGAGCCAAGAAGACCAGTTCATACTCAAGAGATGGGCAGTCGCCATGTCGAAGTGATTTCTCGGGACTTGTGGGGAATACTCTCATCTCATTCAATGATGCGCAATTGAGTTAGAGATCGTGGAGAAAGACCTCATCTATCTCTTCTTCGACATCGTTGGCTGTGTTGCTTCTGAAAGACGAGCCACAAGTCAAAGTCCAAGTTTTGAGATATCAGGTTGTCCGAATGACGACACTAAATATCAACGAGGTCCATCAGTGAAGACTGTACCCTCGTCGCGCAGCTGCTACGTTCCTTATAGGTTCCAGCCCCCCCTTGGCGACACTAATGTCATCAGGCTACGTGCTTACTTGCATATCGTGTAGGTCGCACCGCGCAGGATCACAACCAATTAGCGCGCGAAGGAATATCGTCAAAATCAGGCTGCGGGGGCCAAAAAGTTCCCTTGATCCAATGAATATGAGGAGAGAATCTCGGCTGTATGCCAGGGACCGGAACGTTTATTTTTACATACATCGTTGTCTCACTGTCACTCAAATTCGGCATCGCCCATCTCAGCCTTCTCGGGTGCCGCACAGGCAACAGTAACCCGGGAGTATCGTGTAACACACAACTGCTGAATTCTCTTTGCACGGAGCAGAACATTTTCTAAGCCGCATGGAACCATTCGTCGTCGGCTTGAAGGAGGGGGGGGGGGGGGGGGAAGGGCTTAATTGGCCTTAGAACCACCTCGACCAAGTAGCTGTGGTGAAGAAGGATTGGTATCTTTAGGAGTGTATGCTAATAGGAGGGATTGCGACGAGGCCTCTCAAGTAAGGTGTCAAATGAGCATTACTCTTATGTCAGATGTCACATCAGCCGCGACAGCAAGGCTACTGGGGCGACAAGGAAGGAGGCGGATTGAAGACACTTTCCATGGAGGCAGCCGAGAGAGGGGCTGTCACTTAGTATAAAAGCACCCAGAAGATTCTGTGATAGGTCTCTACGGCAGCGCATTGGGATTGGATGATCAGTCGTGGGGGGGGAGGATCATTGAGTGACGAACTGCTCAAAGGTCTACTCCAGCAGAGGAGCAGGAGATTATGTCACTTCACCAACTCCGGGCCAGATCTCGTCAAAAGCTCTCGGATATATCGTCCTATTCCGTATGGAATATTTAACACTGGAGATACAACCATCGAGTTGGCCCGTAAATCGGTTTTAATGTACGGAGCGGACAATCTCAGAGCACACGAGCGCGATAGATACTCGAGGTTATGACTCTTCGATTAGCGAAAACGTAGACTGAAAGGGAGTTTCGTGTCCTGACAATTTGGGAAAAGATGTACCATTGAAAATAGGCTACCTGGCAGGCCCCTTGCCATTTTGCTCTGAAATGAATCCCAGCGGGGGCTGTCGTTTAGTATAAAAACACCCCAAAAGGTCCTGTGGGAAGCTTTCCAAGCAAGACAAGCGTCATGTCTCGGTCGACAGGTCGGGGGATAGTTATTGAGTGACGAAGTGCCCTCAGGTCTACAGCCAGACAATGAACGAAATAGAACATCCCACGTCACCTACTCCCCAGCCAAGTTCCACACCCCCCAGACTAAAACCAGTTCCCATCAAAAGCTCTCGGCTCTTACCCCCTATTCCATATTGAATATCTCACGCCAGACAGACGTTATGAAGTATAGATTGTTATTGTGAAGCTATTGAGCGTCACCTATTCGCTGAAAGGGGGAAACCCCACCAAACCTAACCAGTCCGTCCAGAGTCCTTACCCGACCAACTAGTGATTCCCTGCGACGCTTCCGGAAGACTCGTGGTCTGTTCGCTATCCAACTCGTAGAACATAAAAAGCTTAAGGAGAAGAAATGGGGCCCAGAGAAGGAAGGAGTATAATACGAAACAAGAAATCAGTTGTGTCAGCTCGGCTTGAATATATATTCCCAGGAACCTTATGCACCTATATTTGGCAACGGAAAGCTCTCGATCTACGGGCATACTAGGTGCTTTTCTCCCTCACCCATAAGAGCCAGACTTCCAAGTCACATACTTCTGATGGGAGCAGCCTACAAAGCTGGTAATCGAATGAAATCGACTTTGGACAACAACATACAATTCATCCACTTCACAGCAAGCACAGGGAACAAAACTTCAAGTCAGGTACACAATTTCCTTAATAATGTACTACAATTCCCCTGTTCCTCCCAATGTAACTTCTACAACTGAACTTTTTATTCGAATCCTCCCTTCCCCTCCCGCTCTCTCTGAGCCTCTGCCACTCTCTCAATCCTCACAAACCCGCCCTCTCAATGAGGGTACGGAATACACATAACCCCCGGCAACCTCGAGAGGAAACGAGTGAAGAAGGTGAAATAAAATCAAAACAACAGAAAAATAGTGTCCCAACGCCGAGCCAAAAGAGCAATGCTATGCCTTACCTTTCTTTTTTGTGTCGCTACGCGAAACCCCAACACTCCATCACATGAGTGTCCGTCACAAACAGACACACAACACACATACTTTCTCTCCGTCTAGTATAAACTCAGACCAAATAACGGAAGAGAAGAAGAAAAAAGAAAAAAACACATGCTATGGCATTCTTCCATAATCCTTTTCATTGCGTTTCCATCATTGGCCTCATTTGGCGTTGGCAGACTTGTGGGTCTCTAGGGCGCTTGCCAGCGCCTTGGCAAAGTCCTCCGTCTTAACTTGCACCATCCAGGTCTCGAGGCCGCTGCCCGTCTCGTTCGAGGTCGTGAGCTTGACGTACTTCTTGTCCGCCTTGTACGTCTCAGCAGGCAGAACGGTGCGGTTGAGCACGACGTGCCCGCGAGGCTCCGCGCGCAGCAGCATGCGAACCGCGCCAGTGTTCTTGTGCTTCAAGATACGGAACGGGCCGACACCCTTGGTTGACCAAGGGCTCTTGTTCTTGGGTTTCTCATCGCCGCTGTCCTTGTCTTCTTCGGATCCGGCTGGAACGAACTTCATAATCTTGGCTCGAACGTCGTGGAGGATTTCCTCGTCTTCCTCGCCAGGGCCACCCTCAGTCAGCTTGAGCTGCTCGTGAGGCTTGCCATCAGCATCGTCGCCTTCACCACCAGTGGCCTTGTCGGCTTCCGCAGTCGGCTCGGGAGTGCCAGTGGCAGGGGTCGTAGCTAAGCTGGAGGCACCGCCAAAGTTAAAGGGTGAGTTTGTGCCAGTGGTAGAGGCACCCGCGGGGGGGTTCAGGTTACCGAACATACCACCAGAGGAGGGTTGAACAGGCTTGGCACCGCCAAAGAGGTTGCTCGTAGGCGCCGGGGTTGGCGCTCCAAAGAGCGGCTTCTGAGACGCAGGTGCCTGAGCACTGGCAGATCCATTAGCGGCGCCGAAGGTAAAGGTGGGAGTCGAGGCAGCAGGGGCAGCAGGCTGAGCGGGAGCGCCGCCTCCAAACTGAAAGGGGCTGCTGCTTGCCGCCGCAGGTGCAGGCGCGGACGAGCCACCGCCAAACTGGAATGGCGTAGAATTGCTTGAGGGGGCGGAAGATCCGCCACCACCGAAGTTAAACATGCCGCCGGCCGAAGGCGCGGGAGCAGAACCCGAGCCGCCGCCATTAGCAGATGCGAAGGGGTTGTTGAAGCTCGTGCCGCCGCCGGCGGCGCTGAAGGTGAAAGATGAACCACCGCCAGAGCCGAAGCTGGGAGGGCCGCTGGAGCCACCGTTTGTCTGAGGCGCAGGCGCAGCGCCACCGAAGGGGTTAGCTGGGGCTGCACTCTGGGATCCACCAAAGTTGAACATGCCACCAGATGGTGCGGCCGAGGCGGAGGGAGCGGGCGCGTTGAACTGTCTCTTCGCCGGCGGGCCATCCTGCTTCATGGGACTGCCACCGAACGGGGAGCCAGCGGATTCCGTCGGCTTGCTAGCGCCGAAACTGAAGGCAGGAGCCGCAGCGGGCGCGGGAGCGAACTGCGGGGCCTTGGAGCCCTCGTCACTGGGCTTGGCACCAAAAAGGTTGGAGGTGCTCGACGCGGGTGGCGGGGCACCGAAGAGAGGGTTCGACTGGAATGGGGTCGAAGTGCTCGATGTGTTGGCGCCGAAGAGGGGTTTAGCCGGTTCGGCAGCGGGAGTCTCCTGAGGCTTGCTGCCGCCAAAGAGTGTCGATGACTGCATGACAGAACCCGCAGGCTTGTCTTGGGAACCAAAGAGGTTCGAAGCCGGGGCGGCAGGCTTGGGCTCTTCCGACTTGGGAGCGGAAGCACCAAACGCGAAAGTCGGCGCAGCAGCCGGCTTAGGAGCTGCCTCGTCCTTCTTGGGTGCCTCAAACGGCTTCGACTGGAATCCGGAGAAGCCGCCAAAGGGGGACTTGGAAGGGCGCTGCGAGTCGTTCTCCTTGTCGGACTCCGCGCCCTTGTCCTCCTCAGGAGCAGACCGCTTCTCTGCCTTGGGCTTCTCATCTTGCTTCGGGGCGCCAAACAAGTTGGATGCAGGAGCGGCAGGCGCGGCAGGCTTGGCACCGAAAATGGAGCTCGATCCGTTGGTGGAAGCACCGAAAAGTCCATTGCTAGGCGCAGGGTTGGCATTGAACTTGATCGGCGAGTTGGGGTTCCAGGTAGCGTTGACCGGGGCCGGAGCAGCCTCCTTGGCCGGCGCAAAAGCTGGCTTCTCCGGGGCCGGGGCCGGCTCAGCCGAGTCCGCACGGAGAGGCTGTCCATTGTTGCCCTTAGTCACGCGGTCGAACAGACTCTTAGTTCCGGAGGGAGTAGTCTCTCGGGCGTCGGACGAAGTGCTGGAAGGAGCAGTCGCGGCGCCAGCAGAGAAAAGAGGCTTCTTAGCACCAAAGAGGTTGGAGGCCGGCTGGCCCAAGGGCGTTTCGGCACCACCACTAGCGGCAACGCTGGGTTCCGCCTCGTCATCGGAATCAGTCTCACTCTCTGCGTCGGCTTCCACACCGCTGTTCTTTGCCGAACTAGCATCAGACAGGTAACCGAAGATGTTTGATGCCTGGGCAGGCTTGAGCTGCTTCTCGAATACGGAGCGCGACAGATCGTTGTTAGCGGCCTTGGGTGGTGCTCCGAAGAGGCT